TTGTTTGTTTTTTTTTTCCCCCAAGCACGTTTGGGTATTTTTCCATGCCGTGAGGAAAGCGGGAGATGGCGGCTCCGACCCCTGCGAAGGAGAAAAGCGGTGCAAAAGAACAAAATTAGGCATTAAACTACCCACCTTGGGGTGCGTGTGGTGGTGGTGATGATGATGGGGGGAGGGGGTGGGGCGCGTGTGAAAAGCGGAATTCTGGGCCAAAAATGAGGCAAAAGATACAGTATTTTAGGGGTAACGCCAGGGCGGGCTGAGATGGGGGGAGGCAGCGATGGCGCCTGAGGCGGGGGGGAACTGGCCGGGGGGTGGGAGAGCTGAGGCGTGAGGGGGAGACGGAGGGCTCCGCCATGACCGAGTGAAAATGCGCATTTCTGGGCATTTTCACATCCTTTTGCAAAGGCGGCGAGGCAAAAAGGGGAGGGGGGGGGGAGGGAAAGAAGAAGGTCAGGTTTCACCCGCAGCGCTTTCGCCGCCTGCCCGGAGGGGATTCGCGCAGGATCAGAGCCCCTCCGCCGTGCTCCTGGCACGGCCTCAGCCCGCGCCCGCCACCCCGGCCCCACAGCCGCCCCTCGCCCATCCTTCCCCTCGCTGCCCGCCGCCGCCATTTTGTCGCCTCACAGCGCCGGCCCGCCGGGCGGCCATTTTGTGAAGCGAGGCGGGGGGGGCAGCGCCTGAGGCTGCCGTGAGGGGCAGCCCCGGCCGCCGCCTCCTTTTGTCAGCCAAAACCCTCCTTTTAGCCTTTATTTCTCTTTTTCTTCACAAATCTCTCTTTTTCTTCACAAAACATATAGCCCTTAATACCCCATCAGAGCCTGATCGCTTCAGGAAGATCCATCCTCTGACGAAGCAATCCAATAAATGAGATTAAAGTATATTCCCCAGGCTGGGCTGTGAGGGAAAGTTTAGCTGCACGGAGAATTAGGAGATACATTATTATATTATATTATGTATTTATATATTGATTATTATATTTTATGCTTCACTCTTTGCTTTTCCAATGCTTTTCTCCTTTGCAGGGGTTGAAGCTGCCACTATTTATATATTATTCCTCATCCTTCTCCTCCACCTTTTTTCCCAGTGATAAATCCCTGAGGTCAATAAGCCACCTTGACAAACAGGATAACCTCTGTGAGAAATATCTGTGTTTTTTTTTTAATAAAACACCTCACTTACAGGCTCTACTGGACACTCCAGCAAAATAAAGATGTAACTTCAACTACTCAAAGCCAAATCTGGGTGAAAATTGTTAATTTTCAGGAAATAAGGCTGCAGGATGCTGTCAATTGCTGATACGATGAAGGAAATCTGGGATACAAAATGACAAAACCCCACTTGCAGGCGTGTGCTCTGTGTCTATTTTCAGAAATAGGGTAGGTTGGGCTTTTTATCTGTTGGTTTGTTGGGTTTTTTTATAAATAAGGCAGTGTAGCACTTGCAGCCTGGTAACGCGCTTGCGCATCAGCCTGCATCCCTTTTCCCTCGTGTTATCAAAACTGATGTGCTTTAAAACTACATCAGTGGGTGGTTCACTTTTGCAAGGAAAACTGGGGGGGGAAGGAGAGTATTAGAATATTGCTCTTTTTTTTTTTTTTTTTAAATATATATCCCACCTGTGCTGCATAATAAAGCCAGAGAAATCCAGGGCTTGGCTGGTCCCAATGTGATCCCTGCTGTTTTTCCCTTGTCTCTCTTAGCCAGCAGGATCAGTCCACTTTCTGTTTAAGAAATGTTAGATTTTTAGGTTGTGTTGGTGACAGGAAAGTGCAGGAAATAGATCTGAACACCCTGTGGGGAAGAACAACACTGCAGCGAGCCAGCTGGGATGTGGCTGCCATTAACCTGGGATGTCCAGAGGAAAACTCCGGTTTTCCTGCAGCTCTTTCCATCCTATGCGAGAAAACCAGCATCCAACCTGCTCCCAGCACCTTTTCCAGACCCTTTCCCTGGTCACTGTTTCAGCCTCAGTTTCCCTTCCTGCAGTGTTTCCTTCTGCTCCAGCTTCTTCCCCGCACCTTGGAAGTCGTGATGGCACTGCAAAGGCACACAAGGAATACGGCTCATCCCTCCCTCTGCTTTTCCCATTCCTCCTAGCTGACCAAGGGGATGCTGGAGGGAAAGGCCTTTTCCAGCCTTTTCCCTTTATCATCTCACCTTCCTTGTGACTCACCGAAAATCTCCAATTTGCCAACAAAACCTACAAAAAGGTCTTTTTTTGTTACGAAGCAACACTTTAACCACTGATGTAAAACCACTACAGCCGTGCCTGGCAGCTCCTTCTTTAATTTAAAACCTCTTTTTAAAAGTCCAAGCTGCAAGAAGGATAATCTTGGGAGGTTTTTTTTTATGGGATGCACCGTTGTATTCCCGGGAGCAACTTGGCCTCGCAGCAGAGTAGGATATCAGATGTCTTCGCTGGGAAAGCCCGAGGAAATTTTATCCGCAGCCGCACCCAGCCTGGAGTGAAGAAATATTTGCATTTGCTGCTCCTTGGAGGGTAGCCAGGTCCTTCCCGCTCTCCTCAGCCTGCCAAGAGGGATTGCAAGGACTGCCGGGCTTATTCCAGCAGCCAAGGGAAGGGCAGGGTCCAGCCCGTGGCATTTGGAAGGGTGGGATCCTCTCTGTCCTTGGCCACCACCACTGGGATGTGATGAGAAACCTCACGTGGTTTTTACACCTGGGTGGTCTTGGGGCATTCCACAAGGCTTTGGGGAATCCCAGCCCCCCAAAATCCTATTGCTCCACGTGGGATGTGCTCAGTTCGCTTTTACCAGCAAAGCTGGGCGCTCGCAGAAGTGCTCATGACAGGGTGAGCAGCTCGAGGATGGGCTGAACCGTCGCAGCCGGCGAGGGTTGGCCTGGCAGCAGGACAGGACTCAGCTCCCACAGCCTCACCCCTGCAGGATCTCTCTCCTGCACGCAGCTCCAAATTCCTCGAGATCCTCCCCAGGGAAAGCACAGGGCTGTGCTTTCCTTAGTGACACTCCCCGTGCCTCGGCTCGTAACGCTTCTCCCTTATCCGGGCAGAGAAAGGCTTAGATCAGCCTTCTATCCTCTTACCATCCATCCATCCCTGTCCCTTGTCATCCTCTGCTCCTGGAAAAACATGCCAAGTCTGACCATTCCTGCATCCCTTTGTTGCGCCGCCAAACTCTCCAGCTGTGCCTTTCCTTTCTCCTCGCTTTCCAGGACCTTCTCCAAGGCTTCATGTCAATAAAAGCATTTCCCTGCCTCCCTCCAGCCAAAACTCACCGCAGTCCCGCTGCCAACAGCCCGTCCTGGGTTGGTTTGTGGGGGAAATATCCAACCCCTGCCCACCATTCCTCTGTGGAGGGATAGCACAGCTTGGAATAACACACCCAAAGCACCTCTCAGCGTCAGCACTTCCATCCTCCCCAAAAACCTTACTTGGAAAAATACCCTTATTGCACAAAACAGAGCAACTCCTGGGCCTCCCCTTTCCTGCTCCCCTTGGCCACCACCACATCTTTTTACTTTTTTTAGTATCATTTTGATGCCTGGTTTTCCCCACAGAACGACAAACTTTGGAAAGAGAGAGAGCTGACTTTGAGCACGGGAATTCCACGGCACGGGACACGAGGTTCCCACCCAACCAGACCCAAAGCCACCAACTTACGTGACCGGGACAAACCGCAACTTTAACATCTTATTTATAAATTTGTTTATAGCGAGTTACGAGCTGATTGATGGGCCGGAGACGCTCGTTAACGAACACTGAGTAATCGGCTTTGTAGACGGGAAGAGTTGTCAGGAAATAGTTGTTGATGTGATTAATTAACCATCATTAACCCCTTCATTCATAAATACAGCACGCGCCAGAGAGATGTCGGACGTGACCCAGGAGCTCAGAGCTGCTGCTCTGGTGCTGGTTTTCTTTGTTTCCAGCTCCCTCTTTCCATCAGGAAAGCATTAAACATCATCTCACATGCTCTTGCCATTTTCTGCTCTCGATTTGTGGCTTTTTAAGCACTTTCGGTTAAGAAGAGAGTTGAGATGTTTCTCCGCCTGGTTTGCAACGCCCTCACAAACAAAACCGCCGAGCGCTGGCGACATCGGTTGTGCAGATGTTGGACATGCAGAGGAATGGTCTAATTTCAGCTGGTTTGGGGCTTGGTCTAAGAGAAGATCAAAAGGTTTCCGATGGCGGAGTGGTATTATCCTCAATATCGTGCAGAAAAGGGGCTGTTGGATGCATTTAGCTGGAGTTTTGCTGCCTGATGGAGGAATTTGTGCTCCAGCTGCCCTCTGCTGGCTCCAGGACAGACAGACAGCAAAAAACCCCCAAACCACCACCTAAAACCCTTTTATCAACCCCAAAAGATCACCAAATCCCAAATCCACCCCCAAAAATCAACCTTGGCTCTCTCCCAGGTGACAGCAGCACCTGCCAAATAGCTGTACCTCAAAATCAACTGTTATGGACCTGAGTGACCTGACTTGCCATGCCTATAAAATCCAAAAAGTGGATTTTTTTTTTTTTCCTTATTTTTAAACTCAGATTTGATAGGTTTGGAATGCAGGGCGGCTGAAAGGAATGCGAGTTTTTAGACTCGGGGTTTTATTTAACTGCGAGTAACTAAATCAGTGCCCGCTCTCCACAGAGAGACACATTTCAGTGAAACCCCAAAAAGGCTCAAGAAGGAAGAAGAAACACCCAAGAAAACCAAACTGGCCTTAAAAAAGGAGTTTAAAAAAAGAAATAGAGAATAAAACCGCTGCTCTGCCACTGCTGCTCTGTCAGGCCATTTCATGTTCATGGTGAGTGCAGGGCTGTGTCGGGACATATCCACACTGCTCCCCCAGCCAGCCCTGGGGGTCGGGGGCCAGGTACATTTTGGAGATGAAAACACCAGTTCTGCAGCAATTTTGGGGTGCAGCAGACACGCGGGATCACCCTCAAAACACCCCCTTTCTGGTGTCTGGCACTGGACGGCAGAGATGGGTGAGCCGCGGGGCCTCAGCAGGACGACTCGTTCCGCCAGTGGATGTGGCAGGACTTGCAGAGGAGGTGGCTGTCCAGGGGGTAGCACCCATCCTCCGTCAGCTCCGGGGACAGCGGCGTCCCACAGCTCTGGGGGCGAGAGGGGAAAGGCACAGCATGTTTCGGGGGGTTCTTCATGTTGCATCACATCCCGTTTTCCTACAAAACCCACGAGCGCTCGGAAAAAGCAACAAACCAGATCAAAAACCTGCGAAGCCGAAGGTCTCCTCCAGGTGCATCATCATCACCACCACCTGATTTATTTATTTATTTATTTATTTATTTATTTATTTATTTCCTCGTCACTTGCAAGATAAACTGTGGGATAAAAAATCACCCTGGGTGCTGCAGACCCCATGCCAACCAAGGCTCAGTGCCCCCCACCCAGCTTTGGGGGGCCCAGCCCCACCAGGGCCATACCTCGCAGCGGTAGCAGCTCTCGTGGAAGCTGCGTCCCAGGCACTCGATCTTGTAGGTGTCCTTGTCCTCAGAGGGGACAATGGGGCGCTCGCAGGCGCTGCAGACCGCGGCGTATTTCCTGGCAGGGGCAAACAGGAGTGGTGTGAGCCCTGTGGGGTGACAGGGACAGCCAGAGCCCAGCTCTCAAACCCCAGCTCCCAAACCCCAGCTCCCAAACCCCAGCTCCCAAACCCCAGCTCTCAAACCCCAGCTCCCAAACCCCAGCTCCCAAACCCCAGCTCTCAAACTCCAGCTCCCAAACCCCAGCTCCCAAACCCCAGCTCCCAAGCTGGGGGACGCTCCCCCGTTGCCAACCTGTAGAAGTCGGGCACACAGTACACGTCGCCCCGCTCGTCCACGGCAAAGCTCTCGGCGCCGATGGCGCGGCCGCAGCCGGCGCAGGAGAAGCAGCCGGGGTGGAAACCCTTGCCCAGGGCACGGATGATGCGCTCCGTGATCAGCCCCTGGCACTTGGCACATTTCTCCAGCGTGGCCTGGGATTTGGGGAACACGCGCCATGAGATGCCAGTTCCCACCCCGAGAGTGCTGGCTGTCTCCGAGGGAGGAGGGTACCTGGTAGCAGGTGTCACACAGGGGCTGCCCGTCCCTCTGGAAGTAGCTCTGCCCAGCCAGGAGCCGCTGGCAGGTGCGGCAGGTGAAGCAGCCGGGGTGGTACTGCTTCCTCATCGCCTCCACCGTCGGCTCCCGCGGCCCCAGCGCTTTGTGGCAGAAGGCGCAGATGTCTGCAGGAAGCAGGGACAGGGGTTTGGAGCCGCCTGGCTCAGTATCCCAAACTTGGGATGAGCCTGTGCCAGCTTTGTCCCTCCCCCCTTACCTCTGGAGCTGTCCCGCTCCGGGTACCCGTTGGCATCCTGCCACTGCGGCTTGTCCGCTTGCACCTGGCAAAGCTTGGGCGGCTTTAATTCAGCAGGGAAGGAGGAGGGGGCCTGCAGAGCAGGGGAAGGTGAAGCTGTGTTATCTGTGCTCCTGCATGTGGGGAAACTGAGGCACTGGGGGGTCTGCACCCCATTAAACTGAGGCACTGGGAGGTCTGTACCCCATTAAACTGAGGCACTGGGGGGTCTGCACCCCATTAAACTGAGGCACAGGGGGGTCTGCACCCCATTAAACTGAGGCACTGGGGGGTCTGCACCCCATTAAACTGAGGCACTGGGGGGTCTGCACCCCATTAAACTGAGGCACAGGGGGGTCTGCACCCCATTAAACTGAGGCACTGGGGGGTCTGCACACCATTAAACTGAGGCACAGGGGGCTCTGCACCCCGTTATCCTCACCTGGAGGGTGCCGGGTGCCGCAAGGTCCAGCTGCTGCAGTGCCGGACACAGCGACTCTGCAGGCAAGGGCTGGGGGGCTTCGGAGAGGATGAGGACTGGTGGGAATGAAGGCACAGGCACAGTTGGATGGGTTTCTGCAGCAAAAGACAGATGTGGGGGGTTTAGAGGAGGGACAACGTCCCACCACGATAACACCCCTTTGCAACAACACCCCGACAGCTTTGCAGCTGCGCTCACTGACCTGCCCCAAAAGCAAACGCCGTCCCGACTGAGGGGACAAACAGCACCGATAAGTGCCTGGCAGTGGAGAGCAAACACAGCCCTTCCCTGGCAGCCGGATGCATCCCAGGATGGGTGCAGGGATTTTGGGAATAACCCCGCAAAACCCCCCCCCCAACATCCCCTCCTGCCTGCGTGTCCTTTAGCAAACCATCTCCACAGCATCCTCAGCACCATCATCGTCCTCTCGGCACCGCTCGCAGCCCCCCATGGACACCCCTCACCTCCGTTGGGCAGCGTGGGGGGCGACAGCGGCATCGGGGGGCGGTGGGTGCCGGGCTCCTCAGCACCATCCGGCTCTGGCTCCTGGTGGGTTTTCTCCTTGGTGGCCACGTCCCTCCGTGGTGGCACCAGAGTGATGAAGATGGATGAAGCCATCCTCTTCTCTGCCTTCCCTGGCAGCATCTCTGGAGCCGCGGAAGGGCCGGACCTGGGGTTGATTTTAGGGAAAATAAGGTAAAGCTCGCAGGCGCCCCAGCAGCTCCTGCAGCCGTGCTGCCCTTCGGCATCAACCCGCCTCCCTCCTCCCGGAAAGGGAGAAGGAACGAACAGCCCAGTCCCACGTCACGGCAGTAAATGGTCTGTGCCTGGGAGGACACAGGGCAAAGGGTCCTGGTGAAGCAGCAGCCGGAATCTCCCATTTTCACGCCTCTGTGGCCAAATCCCGCCCTTTTATAAGCATTTCAACACCCTTCATTTCCTCTTAGTGCTCCCACCTGGGATTATAGTCCCTGTGGGCAGCAGGAAAAACCCCACCTTTCCTCTTAAAAATGGGGTTGCGATAGGACTTTGCCTTTTAAACCCTTTTTTGGAGTGGCTCCACATCCCCAGTCCCTCCCTCCTTGCCCCCAGTTCCCAGCTAATCACTTCCAGCTCAGTGGAACCCCTTTATTTTTCCAGGTGGGGAAACTGAGGCACAGTGCTCTGAACCACCACGTCCCTATCACAGACACAGCCCCCAGCACAGCCCCGGCAGGATGCGCCTGACCCCGCTAAACCCCGCTCAGGAAGGAACAGGGCTGGCTCTTCAACTTCCCAGTGGGAAAAACAGCTGGGATGAAGCTTCCCCTTCCCAAATGGAATGGTTGGGAGGGGGGGAACCCTGGGGCTTTGGCCACGGCACTGCATTGGTGAAGCAGGATTCACCCCTGAGCTGAATGAGCAGCTTGAAAAATACCTGTGTGATGAGTTGCCCGGTCTCATGGGGCTCCGCTCCCCCAAAATCTCCTCACGGGGATCAGCACATCCTCTCAGGGGGGCAGCCAGTTCCCCTCGAGGTGGGGGGAAAGCTACGGGATGTTTCCGCCGGTGACTTCAGCCTCTGACTCAAGCGGGGAAAGGATTAAAGAGGAAAAAGAACCCCGAGCGCTTCTCTCCCTCCTCCTCTCCCTCCCCACCGGCGAAACCCCGGCCGGGCTCCGGCGCTGCCGGCCCGCGCCCAAATCCTCACCCTCCGGAGCCGCCGCTTTTCCTCCTCCCCAGCCGAGCTGCAGAAAATTAGGGAGGAAAAAGGGTATTCTTAAAAAAAAAAAAAAAAAAAAAAAAAAAAAAAAAAAACAAAAAAAAAACTAAAAAAGAAAGAAAGAAAGAAAGAAAAAAAAAAGATTTCTCCGGGGTTAATGGGAACCATGTGCTCGTCGCATTCCTCTTTGTGCCGGGGCTGACGGGATCCCGGCGGCCCCACGGCAGCCCCCCCGGGTGCCCCCCAAGCGGGGACCGTCGGGCTGGTCGAGGTTCCAGGAGTGCAGTAACGGGGGTCCTGCCCCCTTTTTGTGGGGTTCCCACCCCTCCCCACATAGCTCCATCCTGGTTTGGGGTGGCTGAGGCCACATTAGAAAAGGCCCCCCCCGGCTTCCCGAAAATCTCCTGGGGTAGGGGCTCCGGTGGGATCGATGAGGGGCCACTTTTGGGGCATCCCCAGGCCCCCAAAATTGGGATGGGGCACAGCCCTTTACAGTTGTCCCCCAGCTCTGTTCCCTGTCCCAGGGACCTCTCGGAGTGTGCTGTGAGGATGCCCAAGGGAAAAGGGATGGGGTGGGGGGACACAGTGCTTGGTATCCCTTTGTCTCCCCCGTCCAGTGGTCCCACTGTCCCCTTGTCCCTGACCTGGGGGGTGCCCTTGCAGCCCCCCTCACTTATCCCCTGTCTCCCACCGTGCAGCCCCACAGCCTCCTTTCCCCACCTGGCTGTGCCCTGTCCCCTATGGGGCGGGGGCCCCCCGCGACCCCCTACCAGGGAGCCCCCGTCCCCTCCCCGGGAGTGTCCCCAACCCCCTCCTTGGGGGTGGCTCTTGGTCCGCTTGTCCCATCCCGGGATGGCTCTGCGGTCCTTATCCCATCACCTGGGGGGGGTCCCGTGTCCCATTTGGGGTGTCCCCTGTCCCCTCTTTAGGGGGTCCCAAATCCCGCACCTGGGGTGGTCCCTACCTGGGGGTGGCCCCAGATCCCTACCTGGGAAGGTCGTACCTTGTGGGGGGAGGTTCCTTGCCCGTGGGGGAATGTCGCCTGCCCGGAGGTGGCCCTGCAGCCCCTCGGGGGGTGGCCCTGTCCCCGGCCCTGTCCCGTACCTGGGGAGCCGGTGCGGGTCCCTCCGTGCGCTCCGCGGGCGCGGCGGGGGCAGCGGGGAGGCAGAGCCGCCCGGCATCACCGCCCCTTCCTCCCTCCTCCTCCTCCTCCCTTCCTCCTCCCCCCGCCTGCCCCACAGTCCCGGGCCCGGGGAAGGCGGGGGGACACATGTCCTTAGGGTGCCCGGTGCACCCTGGGGTGCCTCACAGGTCCTTTGGGTGCCACACGCACCCCCTGACCTCTCTATGCACCCCAAAGTGCTCCATGGGACCTCAGGGTGCCTCGTGGACCCAAGGGTGCACCGTATGTCCCCAAGGTGCCATCTGGCTGCCCCATAGCCCCTCGGGTGCCCCTCTGTCCTCTGGGATGAACTCCCCCTGATTGCCCCAGGCACCCTCAGGGTGCCCCATTACCCCCCATCCTCGGGGTGCCTGTGTACCCCAGTACAGCCCCACGTGCTCCTGGTGACCCCACGGACCCCCAAGAAACCCCCGACATCCCTACACATCCCCCGGCACTCCCAGCGGCCCCCATGCAACTCCATACACCCCCAAAATGCCCCGTACTGCTTCTATGCACCCCTGGGACACCAGTGTGCCCCCACAGAGCCCCAGGATGCCCCATATACCCCCAAACAGCCCCGGGTGCCCCCCTGTGCACGAGGGCACCCCCCAGCCAGAGGGTGACCCCCGCTCTGAGCCTCAGTTTCCCTCTCCAGGAAGGAGCTGCACCACCCACCTCCTCCCAAGCGCTGCACTGCGGCCGTCCCCGAGCCCCTCTCTGGCACAGCAGGACACCTCGCTCTGGCCACAGATTTTGCTGGAAAAATCTTTATTTTCCAAGATTTGGAGCCCCTCTGGAGCCCCTGCGCTGTGACAATGTGGCCCTGCAGCCGGTGAGGACGGGATATCCATCAGCATCCCGCGATCCCAGTGGGACCAGGGAACAAACTCCAGCAGTGCTGCAACCTCACAGAGTCCCCAAAAACCAGGGGCCACACGAGTCTTCCCCCCCGACCTCCTCCATCCCATGGGACGGGGTCGGGCACCCTCTGGGAGCCCTTTTTCCTCAGTCCCCGCGGGGGGGGATTTTGGGGGTGCCAGGCAAAGCCACCCCGAGTCTCTGCCGTCTGGCTACACCCCGCGGCTCATCCAGACGTTTCTTCGGATCCGGATCCCAGCTGTCTGTCCCAGTGAGGCTGCGGGCTGGAATCCTAAGGGAGCAGGGAGAAGAGAAGCAGAAAGGCCCCTCGCCGTGGCCTCGGGGCTGCCCCCGGCCCTCACCCCGCACTGGCAGCCCCGGGCGGTGCCCCCCGGCTCACCTGCGTGCGGCAGGACTGCAGCAGGACCCCTGCGCGGAGCAGGCACCACAGCTCCCCCAGCAGCGACACCAGCACGTGCAGGATGTCGCTCCACCGGCCCACCGTGAGGAGGAGGATGAAGAGACCGCCCATCCGCACCAGGACCGTCCGGAACACCGGCCCCCCATCCGCGCTCTGCCGGGCCTCCTCTGCGGGGACACGGCGCTGGAGACACCCGGGGGACACTGTGCCCTCCCCTGACCCCATAACGGGGACACTGTGCCCTCCCCTGACCACAAGGTGCCATACAGCCCCATACACCCACAAAATACTCCATATACTGCCCCATATACAGGATCCCCCATGCTGTGACATCCCCCCTTCACCCCAAACCCGATACATGGGATACCCCATACACCCACCATACACCCCTGGGATACCCCATCCATCTACCATACACCCCTGGGATACCCCATCCATCCACCATACACCCCTGGGATACCCCATACACCCCCATCCTGCATATGGCAGTCCCCATAAGCAGGATCCCTCCCTCTCTGACACCGCCCCTTCACCCCAAACCCAATATGTGGGATGCCCCATATATACCCCCCCATACAATCCCATATATACCCCCCCATATGGCCCCAAGACTCCCCCCACTGCCCCATTCCCGGGATCCCCCACCCTCTGACGCCCCCCGTGTCCCCGAGCCCCTCTCCCACCCTGCATGTAGACCACCAGCAGGGCGTAGCAGATGGTGAGCGGGGTCCAGAACCGCGCGGCCTCGGCGGCCGACAGGAAATCCCTGTTGATGAGCTGCACGGCCGCCAGGCCGGCCACGCCGAAGGCCAGGCCGAGGGCGCGGCGCAGCAGCGCCGGGATGCGGTGGCCGTCGGAGAGGAGCAGGATGCAGAGCCCGCAGTAGCGCGCCCGGCTGTGCAGCCCGTACAGGGCACACACGTGCCGTGCCAGGCGCTGGCCCTGCAGCGCCAGCAGCCCCGCCAGCCCCGCCGCCAGCAGCAGGT